CTAATAAAGCTTGCAGCATGCTCCACTAATTGCCCACGTGACTACCTTGAATGATCATTCTCATCTTGGAGCCAACTTTGTAATCTGAGTAGTGGGGAGGCCGGGCGGGCATCCATCGCGTGAGATAGGATGAGTATATTAATATACAATTTATATTAAAATTGCATATTAAAATTTCCAAATTTTTAAACTTATCCTATCTCACGACTTGCACTTATCCCATGGTTGGACGGCGGGCCGCAGATTACCCTTCTGTCTGGACTGTGCGAACAGCTGGTCTTGGAGCTGTGTGGACTGATGGCAACCATAGATAGCGATGTACAAGGGAGGCCTGTTACGCATGCACGCAACTCCTAGGCAGGTGAAAGAGAAACACAACTCGGCATCTCCAAGGTTTAACGTTCAGTTCCGGGCAGTTTCAAATTGACCCTCACTCCTTTGCCTAAGCTTAGTCAAAGGATGTGCCAGGCAACTTTGGTGGCAGAACGCAACAAAATCCACTGGAATTCGGGAGTGTCACACTTCACTGACCTAATTGCTCCGTGGAGTAGAGGTCAGTAAGCGTGAATGTCGAACACCTCTGGTAGATCGGGTAGATCATCGACTGAAAGATCTGGGGCAGTAACTTCCACTCTGTCAGGGGACGGTCGGTTGGATCGGGACAATGCATCAGCGATCACATTTTTTACCCCAGGAATGTGTCTGGCTCTGGCTACGATGTTGACTGAGTAAATGAGATGGAAGAACCTGATCGCCAATTGTAGCAGATTCGCCGAGCCGGTCGAGCCTAGAAGATTAATATACCAAACCACTGTCGAATTGTCTGATTTGATTGAAGCTCTGTTGCCCAATGTGAGATAGCTTGAATTACCGCCTTGAATTCCAGCTTGTTTATATGAAGTACCCGTTCGTCGGATGAGCACAGCCCGGCCACTTGGTGGTTGAGGAAGTGAGCTCCCCAACCCATGAGGGATGCATCCACGAATAGGTGAAGAGTCGGTGCAAAGGGCATCATAGAGACTCTGGCGCAAACATTCCGTTCGTCGAGCCACCATTGAAGGACTGGACGAAGCAGGTTCTGGAAGGCATATTAGTTCCTTGGGGTTGTCGGCCTGAAAGTACAGGCGTAGCTGTATCGGCCGAAGTTGGAGCTGGCCTCTGTACGTTAAGGCTTGAGCTGACGTCAGAAGGCCCAGTAGCTCCTGCCACTGTCGTAAGGTTCTCGCCTGAGACAGTGCTGGAGGAATGCATTGCTGAATCTTTATCCACCTGTCATGAGGTACGAACATCATCCCCTGACGAGTGTCGAACAGTGCTCCAATGAATTGGAGTTTCTGAGTCGGTATTAGTTCCGATTTCACGATGTTCAACAGCCACCCTAACTGTCTGAGCAGCGTGGTGGTGAACTGTAGCTGGCAAAGTAATACGATCGGATCCTGTTGAGCCTGGATGCAATCGTCTATGTAGCTTTCGAAGGTGATCCCTTGAAAGTGGAGGAAGCTCGTTATGGGCTTGGTAATTCGGGTAAAAAGCCACGGGGCCGTGGAAATTCCAAATGGTAGGACTTTCCATTGGTAGTGATTCCCGTTGAACACGAAGCGAAGGTATTTTCGGTGTTCTGGATGTATCGGAAGGTGAAGATAAGCATCCTGAAGATCTAGGCTGATGAGGAAGTCTCCCTTCTTCAAGATGGTGTGTAAAAGGTTGATCGACACAATCCTGAAGTGAGGCGGTGGAAGCAGGAATCGGGCATTGAACAACTTCATATTGAAGATGAGCCGGAGTTTGTCGGAATTTTTCTTTGCAACCAAGAAGACAGGGGAGTAGAATCCTGGAGTGACGGGCGATTGACCTAGGAGCTCTATCGCGAGTTTTTCTAATAGCATACCTATTGTGGATTGCAGAGTCTGAAGCTGGTCCACAGGATATGAGCAATGAGCCGGATGCGACATCAGAGGTGGACAGCCAATAACGGATAGCTGATAGCCGTGAAGTAACAGGTTGGTGACGTACGGATCTTTGAGGATTGTCCAATTCGGGCGAAGATCTGCAATCTCCCGCCTACTGGAGTGTTGTAAATCGGAACGACTGGGGATGGGAGGTCCCAGTCGTGCGATTGTCTCAAGCCGTCACTGCTTCCCGGCGCTGGTCCCTGGGCCAGAGCTGGTCCTAGGTGGGGGACAGGAGGAACCACCATGGCCAGATCTGTTTCCTCTGTCACGGCCTTGAGTGGATGCGCCACGAAAAATACTGCGTAAATCCGGATTGGTAAGGGTGAACTGTGCAGTTCGACGCTGTTTAAATGAGTCCTGGAGCTGTGACTTCTGTATCTTTAACAGTTCAATCGAGACTTGAAAGATGGTTTCTTTATCAACTTTATTAGATACTTCTTGGATGCTACCATTGAAGAGGGAGTCAGTAAACCAAGGCTGGTGAAACAGTTCTGTTTTAAATCGCTCCTCCCATGAAGAGATGTTAAGGGGGCCACGTCGGCGAACAGCAAGAGTGTAGCTCAAAATGTGAGCTGGAGATGCAGGCATGGCTATTTGGACTGGATCAATCTCAGGAGGTGGACCAGATGAAGAGCCAGGAGCTACCGAAGCCGGATGGGCTGGAGTAGAAGGCTGTATTTGGTTCCAGGCTGAGGTTATGGCCCTGATCATCATATTTTGAGTCGGAGTCGCTGTAGGAGTGGGATTGTTATCAGGTTCCCATGACTCGGCGATGATGCTAGAGTGAGTCGAAGGATTCTCAGAGCATGTAGACGGAGCATCATAAGAGACTGTAGGCCTATTAGTGGTATTAGAGCAATGATCACCCGAACGTCAGTCAGAGGAACTGTATTGAGATCTCGACGTGGTAAGTACCGAAGTAGGTGGTAAGCCGGTGATCTGGATTCCCTAGTATGTCTAGGTCATCCGGTATGATATGAAGAACTAGTCCAGGTCGCTGTAGTTCTAGTTGGTGATCTGGTTCTGATTGGAGCTCTGGGTGCCGTTGTAGAAAGCGATCTAAGCGCTAAGGTGACCGTAACTCCCATACCTCAACATAGACTTAAGGTAGTCGTAGCGCTAAGGTTGTTTTGTACAACGGCACCAAGGTTCGACCATCTGAATAGGATCAGCCATGAGATGTGGATCTGTACTGTGATCCCGATTGGTCAATGGCTCTGTAAGGTTATCTAGATCGTATAGGTGACCTGGGTTGGTAAGATGATCTGGATTTGTAAAGTGATCTGGATCGATTCGATGCACTAACTGGAAACTGTGATCGTGATCTGGATCTATAAGGTGATCTGGATCGAACAGGTGATCTGGTTTGCAGTTATGATCTGGCTTGATTTGATCTGGATCGGTTAGGTGATCTGGATCGGTCTGGCGATCTACTTCGATGTTGTGATCTGGATTGGTTAGGTGACCTAGATCAGTCCGGTGATCTGATTCGAGGTTGTGTTCTGGATCCATTCGGTGATCTGGATTGGTCTGGTGATCTGATTCGAAGTTGTGATCTGGATCGGTTCGGCCATCTGGATCGGCTGTGGATCTGGATCTGTCCGGTGATCTGATTCGAAGTTGTGATCTGGACCCGTTTGGTGATCTGGATCGGTTAAGTGATCTGGATTGATCAGGTGATGTGGATTGTAGTTGTGCTCTGGATCGTGACTGTGATCTGGATCGATCCTGTGATCTTGATCGGCACGGTGATCTAGATTGGGCTTGTGATGGTGATCTGGATCGTGAATGTGATCTAGATCGTTGTGGTGATCTAGAATGATGTGGTGATCTGGATCAGCGATTAGGTGACGAAACCTGAGGTGTTGATTCATGATGAACATCCCCAGGCGACGCTGTTGTAGTCAGTTCCGTCCGGTTCAATGAACTGTGGCTGGTCCCCTGGTAGTGTAGATGGGACAGGCAACGAAGAATTGTCGATCACAACCACACGCGAGTGATCTGACGCTATGGAAGGAGGTGATTGATGCGTAAGTAATAGGTGCCAAACGTCCTCAGATAAGTAAGAATCTGATGAAGAGTCCATAAAATCCTCTTGAACCATAGACGTCGCTCTCTTGCGCGAAGGTATGATTTTCTGTCGCTGTAACTTGATACGCTTGGCGGGAGTGGGATCAGATTCTGTTGATTTCCTGTCCCTATCGGCGACTCTCCGGGAGCAAACATGAAGGTAGGCCTTAAAATCCTCATCTTTTAGTGAATTCACTTGCCACATCGTTTGTTCCAGTTACATTGTCCAATACAGTCACTGCAAGACGAGTGAGGGTCGAGGGACGAATAATTCGTCTAGCATTGAGCACAAACTTTCCTTTTTCTTGACTGATTATCTGTTTTCCCCATGATGTTAGGGTGAAATAATGTCCCTAATATACAGCACGTCCACACAGTCGTGCGACAAGAAAGAGAATGATCATTCAAGGTAGTCACGTGGGCAATTAGTTGAGCATGCTGCAAGTTTTATTAGGAACTAGGAAGCTAATTAAGAAGAGCAGCATGGAGTGCACGGGCAAATGGACAAGGAGGCCTGTGAAAAAAAGTTCACAGTCGTTCCACTAAAAGTCGAAGCAAGAGAGAGAGGTGCAAGTCGTGAGATAGGATAAGATTAAAAATTTGACATTATTTTTGTCACAAGGACAAAGTTATTAGGTACACAGATATCAAGTTAAATGTTACAAAGGAAGAGCCTAAGCTTTGTCACTGATATACTGTACTGACGTATCAGAAAGTCCACACACTGTGACCAGACAACATCGAGTTTAGTCAGGTCTTACAACAAGCATGGGGATAGGGAAGGCCATTCTGACTTTAAATCCATTGACCATCTTGAGCCATAAGCTCCATCATCTCCACAAGCACTGACCTATAGTTAACTTGCAATATTTGACAATTGTGTGTTTCATTCAGCCCTTGTGCCAGAGTTACCATGTTCTTATGATGATAACAGATATGAATATTCAGGGCGCATTCATGAATTCCCGGTCGTCTTACCATTTATGGCAGCTGCTGAGGCTATTGTCACTCCAAAGAAAGCCGTCTGCCCTGCAACACAAGATTCAATTCAAAGCCAAGGTTCTAACATGACCCATATAATCAGCATCAAAATGGTATGTTTGGTACATAAGCCAAACCACCAAAATCCATATGAAAAGTATTACTTCAATACATACAAAAAATACAGAAGCACAACAGTCAACTCTAATAATACCCAAATATTAGTAATCAGGAATTTCACTAGCAACGAACTATACTGGGCATAAAGAACTGAATGCTGGAGTTTGGTTATACTCCACACTGATGTTGACTATGGTGAGTACGTACATTCATCGCTGTTGACGTCGACCAGGACTGTGGTAGCAGCAAACAAAACGATGATCACAGACAGGGACAGTACCACTCTCTTCTTCAAGGATATACTGCAACGTATTAAATGTTAGTGTGTTGTTTATAGGGCTGCGCAATATAACCGGTTTTAACATGAAATCGATACCTATTGCTGATTGAAAACCGGTATTTCGACATGCATTCGAGAAACTTTGTAGCACTCGGAAGTCTTCGGATATTTCCGTTTTTCACACCGGAAGCCAAGTTAAAGTTCGGTTTGAAGTTGTGTTCTTAAGTTTTGTTCCCAATGTTCTGGATCTGAATGTTTTAAATATTTACTCATTAATGACCTGTGATCTCTGATATGTCCTGACCAGGTCAAGGTGCTGTCTAAAATCTCAGGGCTTTTTTGGAGAGTGGAAAAACTAGTTCAAACTAGTAACCACTATGTTGATTGTTCTTTTCCTTGTTTCATTTGTGCCAAATATTATATATTTTGTCATGATTAAAAGTTTTTATTAAAGATTAATCAAGCATAGTGATTTGTTGTGTTTTTGCTATATAAATCAAGCATTAACTTGATTATAAGTAGTTTTTTGTCAAAAATAATTCTTGCAATATATTGCAATACATATCGTAATATATGCTTTCACATCGCAATATATCGCAATATAAAAATTCTCTGCAATACCCACCCCTAGTTGTTTAATACGGCACCCTTTAATATTCCATCCACGGAGCAATATCATGTCACAGGAAACATGGGCTCCACAAATTACCCATTTAATATTTATGAACAGCTTTGTGGGAATAGGTATGAACCTAATTGATTATCACTCGTTTGACAATCAGGATGAGCAAAAATACAACTACCACTACACTGCTTCACCAATATCCTGCAACTTACAATCTCACAAACATGGCTGTAAAACACAGGCAGATAAAGTTGGAGACGGTGGAGGCTATCTCAAGGTAGCTGAGTAGAAGCAGCTGCAACTCTGTCATGCTGGCCGGGTTGTTGTAACTCACGTCTGCTGCTGTGGTGTTCCTCAACTTGTATTGGAAGTACTGGGAAGAGGAAGCTTGGAGTGAGGATTGGGGTGTTACACTTTGGGAAAGTAGTGGGAAAGTTTAGGTTGTTATGAATATTGGCGTATAAAGTTTGATGTTGCTTGAGACATAGCATCAGGAAGTTTTCATGATTTTGTCAAGTTTTGATAGGCTATTTTCCTTCATCATTACCAAACTTGAATAACATCCTGAAGACATTTGGGTGGTAATCATTCCATGTCTTGAAAGCCAGCAGTCCTTGACAATACTCTGTTGGGACCAAAGGTATTTACAATGTTCTGTAGTTCTGTATTTGATTGCTAACAAAATTCTAATGCTATCCTTAAGTTCAGTGAACACTGATACACATGCAGGTATGTACAGACATTTCAATAGCTTGTATAATGGTAAAAGGTATAGGAATGAGTTTACTTTTATGCTGCTTTCAGAAATATTACAGCAATATCATGGCGAGGACACTAAAGTACTGTCGGAAATAGAAAAAAAACTGTTTTTAGGCTGTTACTCTGTATCCCTCAAATTTACACAATTGCAAATAGCACATGTTGAAATAACCCACTTCGGCCTAACTGGGCATTCAGTGGGAAGCCTAATAGGATATCAAGAAAAGCATGTTTACTCGTAAAATCGGACAAAACTTAGAAAAATTACGAATAGCTGCTGAAAACAATAGATCAGACCATAGATTGCAATTAGGTCGCTCAGACAGGTATGACAACAGACCGTCGACTCGCCTGGCATGAAATGCATGTGCTGCAATGATATTTCATACTTTTTCATGTGTGTTGAACATGTCTAATCTATTGATTAACATCTTACATGTCTTTCTTTCATAAAGTTGATGCTGAGATATGTAAAAGAACATGATGCTCATAGAAAAGCTTAAATCAAACATCGTATTAAATGTCTTAAAATATATAGGTTTCATGACCACCCGAAGATCGACAGGACTGGATAGTTTTTGTAAATTGTTATGACACGCCGTTTTCTTCTCCAGTTTAATGCCCCTAAAGGATTATCTTATCTCCATCCCCCAGCCCGACCCCAACCACCGTCTGTGACACCCGTCCTGGTTTTGCTTTTGAGACGACCCCTCCTACCTGTTTCTTTTTATAGTGATAGTGAGACTCCATGGTAGCTACATCCTTAATAGTTTCAGTATTAAAGTTAATATGTTGTGCGTCAGCTATCATTTATAATAAAGCTAAGTTTAATATCAAAATGGGAATTTAAAAAGTGTCCTTTGTAATACAATATCACTGCACACTAATTTGCATAAAGCCATGGTCTGTTCCAAATAAGTCGCTTTGGACTTTGAAAAAACCTGCATTGCTCATTTCTGCACTAATCTCTCCTCAGTAAAGTCCTTTTTCTACATTTCCTATCCCCCTGCCACTGAGACTGTAGTTAGGCCATACTTAGTTTAACACATATTTCATACCTTCACATGTTAACTACTTAAACTGTAGATATAAATGCGAAAAAACAGGGTTTTTTTCCAATTCGGACAGTACTTTAGAAATGGGCTTCACACATTGTACCCATGTGGGGAATGGAACTCGGGTCTTCACAGTGATAAGTGAATGCCTCATCCACTACGCTACCCCGCTGCAGCACAGACACTTCAGTGAACCATTACATGAAAGCAATCAAGAATATCCTGAGAATCTTACTCATACCGTTTTTGCAGTGATGAAAAAATTCCATGGCAGCAAAGATGCTATCCCCAAGAACAAGAAGATGAAATAGACAGCAAAACATCTGAAATAAACACAAAATAACTAGATTAATAATTTCACTGCGACAATCTAATATTTAATGTTCAGAAGAAAGGTCAGACAGTTTCAGCAGGATACTTGATAAGAGTCAACTGTGAGTCCATTTGTCTGCGGTTGTCTGGCATTGATGGAAATGAGGCTGTTACTCTGATACAAGTAGCGATCAAGAACCTTTTTAGAATGTTGTTTGGGAGGTAATTATCTCAGTAATATTACCAGTACAACCAGTACCAACCAAGCAAACAAGACTGTTGACTATTGACTGTTATTTTCACTCTGGTTACCCTGACTGTTGACCACAATCAACTATAGTACTTCTTACAGCACCCTAGTCGGGTATCAGGTGAATAGCTCATCATTAAGCTTCAGGTTCAGAAGGGAAGGGGTTTGTGTGCTGTTTTTGGAAGTGAGGTGAAAGATGTGAAATGGACTTTAACACTGCAATCAATTAAGATTATTTCACTGACACACTTATGTAGTGACATGTTTATATGGCTGCTTGAACTAGTCCACTGTCAGGTTCCAGGTGGAAGCTGATGAACCATGCTACAGTTTGGACTCCGCACTCACACATTATATCTCTGTCAGTCAGTCCTTGCTTTGTCCTTTATTGCAATGCGCCAAAACACAGAACAGTAACTACCATTTTCAACATCTTTTGCTTTGACGTGGCAAGGAGATCGAACCCTTGAAATTCCAATGTCAAGAGAGGCAACCTATTCACAACAGCAAGGAGGCGGTGCTGACTTTCCATGTTAACCAATCATATGCCAGAAGCAGTGTGCGAAATAGCTTCCAAATTTTGCAAGCCAGTCGGGCTAGTTATGCCTGAAAGTTACTAGCTCACAGAATAATTCACTAGTCCGAAATTTGAATGTAGACACGGGTTTCATCATTAAGCTGCTAATATGATGATCTTTTTTATCAAGCCATAATCTTGCATCATTTAAAAATGTGCTATAACTTCGGAGAGAGTGATATATTTACAAAATGACCCCATGAAAATTCACTAGCGGGCCAGTGGCTATTTCGCACACTGGCCAGAATGAGCAGAAAAACAACAAATATTGAAGTATGGATATCTTTCATGCATAAAAACTGGATGAATGCACACAACGAATATAAAAGTATATTATTATTAAAACCTTAATTTACACCTGACTTCACATCTCCTGTATCACATCTACATATATGTCCCTTGTGAACTCCAGAAGGTGCCCAATTTGAATTTTCAAATTTAAAAACAATCATATTTTTAAAAGAAAGATAATTTGAAAGCATTATGTCCAATGGTTTTGCAGGAGAGGAAATTGGTATGAAGGCTGTACTAAAATGTGACGGGCTGGTGGCCATTTTGAATTATTTCATCTTGTGACTGTGGCTTGTAATGTTTGAAATGTCACCTGCAGCTGTTAACAGTACCTCCTCTCCTCTTATAGTATATATTTTATTGTGTACAAACATATGTATAAACAGATGTAAAGAGACATCTACATTCCATTACACAGTCCAGGAAACAAATACATCCTGCCTAATCTGCTGTTCATGACCAGATGTATTTCAGGAAATCATCTGGAAACCTTACAATGTAGAAACCGAATTGAAATTAAAATAATTAGACATGCTCATAGCAAATCAAATACATAAATATGTAAATACTTAAACTCATTATAACATGTGTGCCCTAAATGCCCTAGATTAACGCATTGTAGTATTTTAGTCTGAAATGAATGTGTCACGTGATCAGAGATGTCATTGCATAGTTTAACTGGACACATGGCATGTGGCCATGCTAGTCCTGTCAACTATGTAGGCAGTGTAGGAAAGATGTAGAAAATCTAGCCTGTCCACAGGACTGGCAGGTCAATTTTTTTACCAGTCCTGCCAAAATCTAGCCTTTCCTCCAAATATAAATAAAACACCTTCGGCAGTATATATTCAAAAAGGTTATAATCATTATATATATGTCATTGGTTTGCTAAAATTTACCCGACATGAGGATGGACTAGATATTTTTTTAACCCGTCCTCCACAAAATTCACCCGTCTCGGACGTTGGGACGGGCTATCTTTCCTACACTGATGTAGGTATTTAGTCCTGTCAACTATGTAGGTATATAGTCCTGTCAACTATGTAGGTATATAGTCCTGTCAACTATGTAGGTATATAGTCCTGTATATAGTCTTGTCAACTATGTAGGTATATAGTCCTGTATATAGTCCTGTCAACTATGTAGGTATATAGTCCTGTCAACTATGTAGGTATACAGTCCTGTCAACTATGTAGGTATATAGTCCTGTCAACTATGTAGGTATATAGTCCTGTCAACTATGTAGGTATATCTAAACCCAACACAGGCCTTAACTGAGAAGGTCCATGACTGGCAACAGAATGGCAGAAGTAATGGGAGCTGTGAAAACTCCCAACTGGGGAGCCATCAGCTAGTTTGTTGGAGTTCTGATGTTTTGACTGTTCAGTTCCACAAGTCATCAAACAGAAGCAATATATATTTAACAAGTCTAATCATTCCAACACTGTCTAAATACCATTAGCTTTTGATACAGAGGTCCAATTTAGACTGAAGAATCATATGGTCACTCTGCCTGTCTGGCCAAGGAGCCTGTCTGGCCAAAGTAGTGTTACTGATTAGCCGTTACTTCAAAGATTCACTTGAGACCAATTCCACAATCTGCAATAAATACCTGTCTTTTCTGCAACTATCTTCCGATTCCATGAGAAGCATCTGCTTTTCTTTATCAGTGTCCATTTGTAACACACCAGATAAGTATTGAAGTAGCTATTGACAACAGCTGATGGACTTGATCACTGCTCTAAACTACAGCTTAGTTCCCACACTGGCAAGGCAACATGTGTTCTATTATCATGTCTGATTAAAACATGATCGTCTGTTCATCACTGGCACCAGGCATAAATGAACAAATCAAAAAACTTTCCTGCAAATACTCCATTGTCTGAGGATTACTAGATATTGCAGATAGACAGATATTGGTTCATATGAACCATAACCATGATGTCACCCTATCTAGCAGCCATTAACGTGAATCACTGACAGGCTTCAGCTACATCACCTGACAGTGGGTCGAGGGACAATGTGATGATATCCTGTGACAACTGTACCAGTCATTTGGAAGTTGTGAATGAAAGACTGTGTAGTTTCACATTTAAACCATAGAGATAATCACCAAACTTACACAATATATTGGTTCTCAGAAAACATACAGCAATATGTATTGTTTGACAAATGTTTACCAGTAATACTGTACAGTCCTGTTTCTGATGGTAGAACACATGTCTATAGTTTCATCAGCTAAAATAGTAACATGGTGTGTGATGCAGTACATGCTGAATGAGGACATGAACAAGTTTTGTTCTGAGTTTGGCTTTATGCAGCAATATTTCTGCACCAGGACAAACCTGGGACAATGGACTCTGCAAACAACTGTGGTGTATTTACCTATGGAATTTTTTTGTTTCATCTTTGAAGCAATGCAGACTCAAACCACAAATGTTTGCATTTGACAAAATTTACTGAACATGTCAATTACTTCCTGTCAAGCAACAGTTGTAACATGACACCATCATGTCATGTTCCAATATTGGCTCATTACTTTTCCTGACTTTAAGTTTCAATATCAGTGTGTTGGCATTGTGTACATCAAATTGCTAAATATACTCAAAGGCCTAAGTTATTGTGAGACATAAAATCAGTGTTACATGTTTACTGCAAGGAATAAAATGTAAATACATGAAAAGATAAATGTTTCAAGGTATGGTAGTGATCAACAGTCCAAAATCACAGCGATCAATGCGATTGATGCCTAACACAAGATGTGCTTCACAAGTAAGTTCAATAGTGTGTCCACGTTCTGCATTCATACAGGTCTAGTACATTCCCCTCATTGAGGAACCTTACATGTCAATGGGGAAGATCATTTACTTATGGTTGCGAGGTGTGGGATATTCAAATATAGCCATTTTAAAAAATGTTCACAGGTTATTCATGAAATCTGTCCTGAAACTATGCAAGAGTACACCATCCTTCATGGTCTTTGGAGAGACTGGACATCTTCCTATCTCTGTATATATAGTATGACCTGAAATTATTGAGAATTTTAGGAATATGTTTAACTGGATTTCTAGTATAAACAACCTTGACCAGCTATCAAGTGCTTGGTTTCATTCAAGAGAGACAACTCTGTTAATCATTTTTCATTAGTTTGTGAAGAGCTATCCCCCTTTGTTTACTGGCTAGCAGACGACATTTTCAGTGATCCTCAGTATGGATGATTTAGAGAAGAGGAAGTTGATTTTAGAGTATTATAACAAGGACATCAGATCAGCTAAAGTGATTTCAAGTAGAACAGGCATCCCTTTGTCCACTGTTTATCATGTTTTGAAAAATATTGCAAATGGATATGGCATTGAGCATCAGGGAGGCGCAGGTAGGCCCAGAAAATTGACTGTCGGTGACAGGAGGCGGCTTGGTATTCTTGTTTCTAAAAACAAACGAAGGAGTTTAGAAAACTTAAGGCTGGATATGATTGATAGAGGAACTGTGGCTGTCTGTAAGGAGACAATTAGAACTGAGCTGCATGCAATGGGTTGGCAGAAAAGTCGAGGAGTTCCATCACCATCAAACCTGAACAAAAGGAGCGAAGGTTGAACTGGTGTTTACAGCATAGAAATTGTAACTGTGACAATGTGATTTTCTCAGATGAAAGTTCTGTGTGGCTGTTTCCTAATACACTGAAATTCTGGACCAAACAAACTGAAAAACCTTTGTATCAGCGCCCAAGGAACAGTCCGAAATTTAACATGTGGGGTGACATATCTGTGTTAGGGGCAACACCCCTCTGTGTATTTGAAGGGAATATGAACAGTGAGTGGTACACAGATATTCTCAAGGGACATTTACTTCCATCTGCTCACATGTTCTATGGACATTATTGGATTTTCCAGCAG